TTCCCAAACCAAGCTTTTTAGCCCAGGCTAAAATAGCCAAAAAAAACCAAAAAGCCAAAAAGCCAACCCACTTCCCAAACGGAGGCTTAGAATGATTTTTTTTTTAATTTTTTTAGAGTGTTACATTGTATAGTTGAGATTTACTGACAAGTTATATCAATTTTTCTGATGTGACTTGCCAGTAAATCTCAACTACACAATGTAGCACTCTAAGAAACTTTAAGAAAATTTCATTCTAAGAAACTTTAAGAAAATTTCATTCTAGAGAATCCTTGGTGTAATTTTTTTTCCTCTCAAAATATTTTAATTTCTTATTTTATTTTTCATTATTTTAAAATATTAATCTCTTTCAAAAAATTAAAAAAAATAATATAAATTTATTATTTTATCATTTTTTAAAATTTATTAATAATACAAAAAATACAATTATAACAATTAATATTTCTCAAAAAATATATTATCAAAAAATAATTTTAAAAAATTAATATTTTTAAAATATAATAATTGTACTATCAAAAAAAATTAAATTTCTCAAGAGAGACAATTACTTTGAAACAGAGAGAGTAGCTCTAAAGCTATGGCCACAACACCTGGCAATAAGTTTTCGTTTGACCAAATTTTTTTTAGTTTGATTTTTTAATTTTTTTAATTTGATTAAAAAGTTTTATTTGGAATAAATTTTTAATTTTTTATAATTTTATGAAAGAAAAAATGAAATGATTATAATTTAGATGTGACATTCTTATTAACTTTTTAGTTTATTTTATCTTTTAGTGGATTAAATTAATCCAATGATATTGCCAAACAGGCCTGAAAGGATTAACTGTGGCTTTTTATTGCCTTGGACAATCATCCAGTTCTCAGAGAGCAATGCTCCCATCCATCTAGATATTGATACATAAAATAGGGGGAAATAACACTTCCGAGGAAGTTTAAAAAAGAAATTTCACATGAGTGATAAAATTTAAAAGTTTTAATAATTAAAATGTTAAATTTTTCATAAAATTGTAATTATTTTAAGAAATACAAACTGATGTGTAATTTTTCCTACGTAATATATTGTTTCTTAAAATTTCGATACAAAAGTGATGTGTACTATAATTTAGACCGGTACTTAATATTTTGGAATATTAACTGTACTTGTTTTAGGAGTATTAAATAATTTCTCATTGTGTTTTTAGGTAAGTCAAGCAAAAAATTTACGTAAACTTGGTCAGTGAAAATTAAATAAAGTGATAAATAAATATATATATATATATATATTTGAATGTTAATTTTATGTGCATTTATTAATGTAGGTCATATTTAAGAATATGCCCAATTTGTGTAGCTACTTATATGGATAGAAATCAAGAACAACAAAAATTAAAAATACTTGAAGACAAAAATATAGACAGAACTCTTCAATTATTGTTGAGGATTATTACAAATGAATATACATTATCTATATATGTATTTAGACAGAAATTATTTAGTGTTTTTAAACATATTTATGTGATCTTATTGGTCTAGACAATGGAATTTATTATTTTTATGTTGATATATTAAAAAGACAACATGAGAATTGTAAATTTACATGGGTATTGGGCCACACAAGACAATATAACTCACACGTCCGACATTAGAATCCACACAAATAAAGTATACAAATTCATTTATGACGGAATAATCGCTCCTGGGCAAGACTAACAGAGAAGTGCTAAAGAAAGTTTTTACAATTTTTTTATATGCCCAATGTAAGAAGATTGCATCTGGTTCTGTGATTATATTCTGCACACTTAGAAACTTTTAAGTTTTTATTACCTTAAAATATTGAAAGAAAAAGGAAAAAACAATGCCCATGTTCATCATAGCTTTATTCACAATTCTAATCTTAGATGAGTTTAGACGTCAATGTAACAATGATGAAGACAAAAATCCCTCTTTCATCAATATTTATATGTTGTGATGCTGCATGCTAAATGTGATAACTGGTTAGCTTTTTGATCAATGAGAATTTGATTAATTAAACAAGTAACTTGGGACCTCAAGTTGTTGGTTTTTATTGTAAGTAATCTCTTAGTTTAGGCACATATGTGGTGTTGATTTATAAGTCCTCTTTTAAAGTGTTTTGATTTTATTCAGATTTACCAGCCAGGGCTATGGTGTATGCTAAGGTTCATTATTTCGATCAAATGTGTTTTTGGTTTGTTGTTTTTTGGTAGATTTAGGCCAAGTTTGGCATCCTCTAAAAAATTCAAAAAGTCAAAAAGTCACTATCCTATTTAAGTCACATCATCTTATTTAAGTCACATCACCTCTCTGACACATCACTTCAAACCCAATCCAAATCCAACACATATTTCATAAAAAGTTAAAAATACACTTATTTAGTCTTTCCAAACTTGACCTTATTATTGGTCAAAGTCTCTTGATAGGTTAGGATTACTTGGAACTCTATGTATAACTATTAAGTTTTCTTTTTCATAGTTTAATAGAAAATCAAGTTTTATAATTTTTAGTGACTTTTATGCGCTCTTAGGAATTGTGGAATTGTGTGCTATGATTGTAACCTAATTATTGTTCTTAAGAAAATCTAGGCATGATGCATAGTGCGCTCTCTCTCTCTCTCTCGTACATCTTTTCCTTTATTTTTTCATAGTTTAAACTATTTCACCTTGGTTTTGCCCCTAAACCACTATCAACAAGCCTATCCCATTCCTCTTTTAATCAAACCACCATAACATATAAAAGAAAACAAAAGTTACATAGTTATTGTCAATGAGTATTGCTTGTTGCACCCAAAACAACCCCTTTAAAATATCTTTCCTACTCATATACAATCTTAACTTTAAGGTTATAAATTTAAGTTATGGAACAATTACTTTGTGTAATATGTCAAGGTTAGGTGTGTATTTAATTTTTCTTCTCTCAAACACACGTTAATGTATACTAATTGAACGTTATTTTATTCATATACAACCTTACCTTTTTTTCACCCCCATTAAAATGATAAAATATCATATTTAAAAACCTTTCAACCACCAAAAGCGAATTAAAAATAGGTTTAAGAAACCTTCTATATGCTTCAGTACATTTTGTTCATATTTTATAGGAAAATGTTCACCACATTCTTCCTACTTTTTAAAATTGAAGTCATTGCAATGATTAGTATTTTGACCAAACAATTGGCCATTGATGACGCTTCTTTCCACCTATAATTTGAGTGCTTGTTTGTTTTTCCCTGATAAGCTGGTTTAAATTTATTTATTTATTTGTCATTATAATAAATATCAAAACTATATTTTCCCAGAAAACATAATAATTTACCATAGTTAGGCAATGTCCACATTTATGGAGAATCATGAGTTACACCTTCTCATACACTCAATAGGTGAAAATCCATACTTTGGGCTTGCAATCAGTCCCTTTTACACTCTCTACGCAATTC